CAAAAGGAAGGCCCTGTATGTAAAAAGACTTTATGAACAATTATGCTGTCAACCTTTAAAAGTTTTAAGCCTGCCCAGAAATTCCTCACTATTCCTCTGTCTCCTCCTCTAATTAATCTTGTTATTTGTTATGCACCAGCATTGGAGATAATAAAGTTTCTTGTTCTGTGTAATTTGTTTGGCTAATAATACTGCATATACACTTTCTCTGTATATTGCTTTTGATTGTGTGTATTACAGCCACTTGATAATTTAAACTTCACCAGCATTTATAAGGGGAAATGATCCAGCTTCTAGTAACTTGATTTACAAATTAGTTTCTGGAAATTAAACTTAGTAAATTTTAAGCTACTGGCTACAAGAACTTGCCAACCTAGGAAAACCAGCCCTATTAATGAGCATGTTGCTGTGGTTATTTTATTAAGTTGCTGAAGTTCTGTTACATCAGTTCTATCACTCATTTTGTGCAGCAAAATGAGTATATCAGCAGGCTTACCATGATGAGTTAAAAAGGTTGCAGATGTCCCTGCTCCATTACGGCAGTAAAGGACATACGTAATGCAACAAGTCCTTATTTTATTGCCATCTGCCTTTTGGTAGTGGGTGGGGGAGGGACTCTGTAAAAGATAGGACTGTGGCAAGTAAGGATGATCATAACTGCTGAAATACTAGCTTGGTTGGGAGGGAGAGATGGAGAAAAGACTAGACAGTAAAATGTTGGCTCTTAAAACAGCTTAATCCTACCACCTCTCCTGTGTCTCATCTCTGCTTTGCCTTCTCAAATAGCTTGTAGCAGCAGTCCCGTGAGTAGATAGATAACTAATTGCATGTGCAATGGAAAATAACTACTCTTAGGGGGAGGGGGAACACAGTGCACAATAAACTGGCTGGTTGTGATTACCTCCAGATAAAAATGCAGGGAAGATAAATGCAGAAAAAATCTGAGGTTTACAAACTAAAAACCACACCCTGTTGGATTAGAAGGATCATCTTGTGGAGAAAAACCTGGACTATGTAACTGACTCGGGTGGTTTGATGATCTTAAGAATAGGCAGTAAGCTAAGAGAGAACCAAAATCAGTGTTTATATTTACAGAAGACAGAATGCTGTAACATTTTAACACTCCTTTTAGCTGTGCAAAATCACTTACAGTTCTTTCGATTGTTACATTTACCACAAACTGGAACCAGACTACACTGAAATTTGGGTTCCACTTACTAGCTCAGTAGCTAGGTAAATTACTTAATCTCTGTGGTTCAGGTTCTAAACGGAAATGGGTATAACTGGATGTACTTTACAAATTAGGATTAAATGAAGAGGTGTGTGTTTTCATTAAAGGAACTAAAGGAGTCCTGGGGAAATCTAATACTGATTTTGCAACAGGGAGAGGAAATGAGGAATGGGGATAGGAAATTTTAAAAAGCTTATAAATGGTGTGATTTGGGAGAGTTCTTCAGGTATATTACATACCATGTATCATTAATGTTTGTTTAAATTACATATCCTACATTGACTGCCTCAGGCCACAGATTTATATGGCTCATGCTTCTAATTTTAATTTTTAAATTAGAAAGCAACATCTCAATATAGAGATGGCAACTAAAAAATCCAGATGTTCCTTTTTTTTTTTTTAAACAAAAGTGGAAGACCTGGCTGCCCTTGACCTGAATGGCAAAAAGCATCTGATTTACATTTGGATGGGGAACAGTCAGTTTGCAGGTTCCCTGGTGTCGTCTCCCCAACACAGAGGTTGAGTAGGATTTACCACTTGCCACTGGGCTTGTACCATTGTTTTTTCTTGTGCCTGGACAGTTGTGTTACCTGTCTGGCCTCTTGATATTTGAGTTCCCTCCCTTAGTGGAGACTTAAAAGGTGTCTCCAAGTTCTTTGTGTTCTGCCTTACCTATTACCTTTCCGACTTCAGTAGCTGTTAGAGTTGGTGATGGTTTTGGAAATGAGTAAAGAATTAATGGGAATGGGAACTACTTAGACTGACATTTTTGCTTAAGGCCCTAAAATACTGAGGTGTGTCAATAAAAGCTGTTGCTTGGATTTTAAAACAGGGAATATATAGAAACTCCTATAACTTTCCAAAAAAGTTTTCCTCACCCCAAATATGGTAATTTTTAAAACCTATAAGCATTGGGTATTTGCTATTTCATTTCTGCCTTTGAGGGTCTGTGAAACATTTTCTAGAAGTTAATTGTTATATTCTTAATTTCTGTGACTGAAGATAAAAGTGAACTATCTGACTCATAAATGCAGTCATCTATGAATATATCCATAAACTTGAACCTGTTTATGTTTTCAGACCAAAAGATATCTTAGTAGTGGGAGTGGAGGGTGGGGGAGGCATTGGTCTGTTTTTGTATTTATCTTAAAACTTCTAGGGGTAACTTTCCTTAAGGAGTTAATTCATAAAAATCTTTCTTGCTGCTACATTCATCAGGTCTCTCTTCTCTGCTGCCTTCGTCCCTTTCAGTTGTCCTTTTCACGGAACACATACAGGTTGAGTTGGCACCTACCCTAGGCCATATCTTTCCCCATATCCCCCAGTCATTTCACCCAGGCGTACAGAAGAACTCAAAATAATTACTAAAAATCAGTCTTTGGATCTGAGATCCGTGATGTCCTAACTTCAGTCCTTCCTTGAGTAGAACTCCATTCCACCCCCAGTGCAGAAAAGATGTGTGTTCCTTTCACAGCACATGATTGCTGTAGCTGCTGGTAGAGAAAGCCATCCACTGGCCCTACTCTATTCTGCCTGAAAGATTATGGGGGTGTAGTGATACCATCTCTAACTGCTATGCCCCGAAAAGGGGCAGTATCAGGGAAAGAGAGGCTGAGAACAAACCACGTCCCACCACATACATCATTATAACCCTATTCTTCATTAATTTCCCATTCACTTCAGGCACACTATGGAAAGGACCATTTTAAAAATGATTACAAAAGGTTATCATCATGATGGCTCCAGCTTTGCTTACTCTTCTTCCCTTATAAACTCTGAGGTAATTCAAGGACTCCTCTACCCAGGGAGATCTCATAATTGAAAGCATTATGCCTGCGTGGTGCCATCCACGTAGGTAAAAACTAGAAACAAATTTTACATCTATGTCTGGAGGTCAAAGCATCTGAATGACTGAATATTCTACCTCGCACCTAGGTGTGTTGCATGTTCTAAGTGAGGCCCAAAATATTACACCATTATTATGCCAGTGTTATCACTGTCTTGGATAATCTATTGGGATCCAACTAAACCGGAATTATTTTAAACTGTTCCATATTAAGCATCATCCCCCCAAGTGTTTTATGCTACTGCATAAAAAATATATTTTTTTCTGGTTTTGAATTTAGAAAATAAAACAGCCCTCAAAACCTGTACTTATAATTTTCTAATTCTGTATTTTATAATATACTTTCTCTGCCAAGTACTGAGAACATGAAAAGGTCTCTGAGAAGGAATGTTGGAGTAAAAAATAATAATAGATACCATGTGACCAGCACTTGCTAAGCAACGTAGATCCATCCTCTCATTTAATTCTTGAAATACCCCTGTGAGGCACTGTTAAATCCACTCTCTCAGAAACCCTATATATAGGTACTATAATCCTCATTTCACTGATGAGGAAAACTGAAGCTCACCGTGGTAGGGTAACTTGCTAGTAAGTGGCAAAGCCAGCTTTTCAACCCATATGTAATCTCAAAGCCTTTTCGTGTATTTAAGTGCACATTAAACCTTTCCTGAGGCCTTGATTAATAGTACTGTATGTAATAAAATCTTAAATACATGCATATGAAGAACCTTGAACCATCACATACAGACAAAGAGAAAAATCAGACTCTAACACATAAAAATAACCGGATAAAGGAATGTAGTTGAAAAAGTGGAAAGAAATCAGTGCCCTGTCTCAGGTAACTATTAGCCCAATGCCTGTATCTTTTACATTCGCTTCAGCAATGCTGTTCTTTGAGAAACAAGGTTCACGATGAAAGGTGAAAAGGTTCACATCATATTATTATAAATTGTCAAGGAAGAAAAAGTTGTTTATACAGTAATATTTTAGCTTCTTAACTGCAAGAGTTGGAAGAAAATGTTTTCTGCTTACATTCCAGTGAGCTAGAACATTAACCCTGATATCACCTTGTCATTTTGTCCCTCCTCTGCACCCCGCTCAACACACAGTCTGTCAGTTCTGCTAATGGAGTGGCTTTCCCTTGGGGGAGGGTTGGTGGGACTAACCAAGGGACAGCTCAGGGATACGAGTTGCCAGATGGTATTCACTATGTTATTTGCACCACAGTTTTTTAATACAAAGCCAACTAGTTAGCAGTAAGTGTATAGGTGGTTAAATGCCTCAGTGATGGGTTAGAAATGCTGCTGTTCTATTATTGTTATGCATAAACCTTGAGCAAATTTTTTCCCTTGGGCCTTATTAAATTGTAGGCATACTCTGAAACTTTATTCTCTTTATTATCCCCAGACTTCTCTAGAAAAAGCAATGATATGTTAAAACTATACACGACATTCATCATCTTACCTGTTGGTTGTCAAGATTCATCAATACAAGGCTGCATGTTGAGATGGTCAGTTTTATGTTCATTCCCGAAAACTGAAGATTACTTTTGCCAAGGACTGTTGATAGGCACTTAACTGGAGGCTTTAAAAATAAAGTTTAAAAAACACTGTTATGAGTTTTGTTACAGGAATGTTAATGTTTTTTAAATGTTAAAAATGGGTCAAAGCCCATACTCTTCCTTTCTGTTTTACTTAAATGAGATGGAATGATTTTTTTTGTTTAATAAAAAACTTTAAAAAAATTTTAACAGAGCAGATTCTTCAGTAAGTGGTAACATTTGGGCCCTCAGCTTTTCTCATACATTTCCTCTTCTGTAAGTGCTGGGACTGGGGAAATGCTTCATGTAAACAAATTCCTATGAAAACGGAAAAAGTTGATAATCCACTGAAGTCAATGCCACTGAAGGCTTTGGTGAGCAATTTCCAACCAAGTAATTGCTTCCTTCCCCAAAGCCATCCCTGTTCCTCCCTCACCCTTTCCTCCCTAGAATTAAAAAAGCCCCTCTACCAGCCTGATCTTTACCCTCAGACAACCACGATGGCTGAAATTCTATCATCAGCTACTCTTTAAGGTTAAATCATTATTTTTGGAAGGTCCCTCCCTGTTGTTAAAATGAACAAATATTACTAAGAAAAGGTTAGCCCATTCCACACTAGCTCATTAATAAAGGTGGCTTACCAAAATTTACTAATGGAAATTTAGAAGATCCTAGGGAAAGGGACATGTTTGGATGAAAGTTGAAATTCTGGACTAAGCATTTCTCAAGAAGTAGGGTCTGGGTGAGGTGAAGAATCACAAATGTAGGGGGTGCCCAAGAATTACAAAGAAAAGCAGTGGGGTCATAAGTGGGGGAAAAGTACCATCAGAGGATTGAAAAATTGGGCTTTTTGTCAGGCAGACAGAAGTGTCACTTAATAGCTGAATGTTCCTAGACAAAGAACCTTCCTAAGACTCAATATCCTTTCATATAAAAAGTGGGAAAAAACAGTAGCCGCTTCACAAGGGCTGTTACCAAAAGTAAATTAGCCCAGTGTTTGGCCGGCTACATGAGACTTGTTATTATCAATATTATTATTATTACTGTTATTGTGGTCCTTTTCAACGCTAAGATTCTAAAAAGTTGTTTGAGAGACTATTTATTTGTTTATATATTTATTTTAGAGACAGGGTCTTACTCTGTCACCCAGGCTGGAATGCAGTGGCACAATCACAGCTCACTGCGACCTCAAACTCCAGGCTCAAGTAATCCTCCTGTCTCAGCCTACCAAGTAACTGGAACTACAGGCACTCATGACTACACCTGGATAATTTTTTTTAATTTTTTTGTAGTGTCCAGGTCTTGCTACATTGCACAGTCTGGTCTGGAACTCCTGGCCTTAAGCAATCATCCCACCTCATTCTCACAAAATGCTGGGACTATAGGCATGAGCCATTGTGCCCTGTGGAGAGATTTAAATACTGTGATGGATCGTATGACATGGATTAGGTCTTGAAATCCTCTGCTGGAAAGTGGGCCAGTTGAGGGTGGAAAATAAGTGATTCTTCAGCATATGGACTAATACTTTGAGGCAACTGATGCAAATATAATTTGTTTCTCTCATAGTTTTGCTTATTTATACATGTATTAACCTCCTTCGATTTATTATGGAACTACACCAAACTGTTAAAAATGCATTATTGAAATTGAATGTATGGTTTTATTTTCAATGCCAAGCACAACCTAGAATGTAGTACAAACAATATATCTAAGGAACCTCAAACACTCTAGGTATCACCCTGTTGTAAGGTTGACTCTTCGTCTACTTTCTCTGCTCTTCACACGATTCTTGGCAAGACAAGCCACACAATTCAGGAGTTTTGTATTCTCCACAGTGACTGTATTTAATGGCAAGTCACTCATTTATTTTCTACAGTTTCTTTTCCATGCTGGTTTTAAAAAATTATCATTAAATACCAATTAAATAGTTAAACTATCTCTAATTGAAAAGCACTTTGTCATTGTGAAGAACTCTTGCATATATAATCTTAATTTTGTCCTCACAATAACCTTAACCTCTGGAGAAATGCCCTAAAGGCATTTATTGTTTAGGAGATAAAGTCTTTCATTCCATTATTACGAATGACCTAACATTTAAAGGACCCTGAGAATAGAAAGCACAGCACAGTGGAAAGCTCACAGACTGGCCATGAGGCAACTTGTGTTCAAGTCCTAGGTGGGTCACTAATCAGTGAGGGTTGGGGGGGGGGACTTAGGAAACTCCTAGAGGCCCTCTCAGTGTTTTTATTTACAAAGAAGGAATAGTAACATCACTTCCACCCTTCCACCTCCAGCCATGAGAGATCTTAGAAGAATTGAATTCAGGAATAAAGTGTATAGAAATGCATAGTGTACAGTGAAGTGCTAACAAACCGTAATGATTACAATGACTACTTTCTAAATGACTTATGCTACAGGATTTCTCCTTTGAGGAAGAGGGAGGGGAGAAACCACAGGCCTGGCCTTTGGGAAAGGTCATGACAGGTGTGGTAGAGGAAGGTCACAGAAAGAAGAGACTGAGGAGGGGATACTTCCCAACTTTTACTAAAGAGTGGAGGCAGGCAGGAGAGAGGTGCGTATCCACACTTTACAAATGAGAACACTCTTCGATAGGTAGACATTAATTGGCCAGAGCTGAGTCTAATTTATTGGTACTGACATGCCAGAATGGCTCTTCTGACTCCATACCACACAGACTCTCAGGAACCTCCTGTTTTTTTGGTTATTCATTAACTTTTAGACTTCAAAACTCATGGGATATCGCACAATCCTAAGCACTCCAAACTGCCTACAGTACAACAGCCCACAGGCCTACTGGAATCAAATGAACATCCTGATCATATTCAACTGGCCTTAAATAGTTTTTGGCTCCCTAATCTCAAGGGAGATGCTAGGGAGAGAGATAGATAACATCTGGTTAAGAGTGTGGACCCCAGAGCCAGACTGCCCGGGTGTGGCCTGGCTCCTCCTCACATTGACTGGTCATTGGGCAAGTTAACCCCTCAGGTACCCAGCTTTCTCATCTGTGAAACAGGAACAGATAATAGGACCAATGTCTAGGATTTTTGTGATGATTAATAAAGTACAAAAACAACAAAGAACAAAGTACCAAAATTTGTAGGATACAGTGAATGATAAGAGGGAAATTTATAGCTACAAATTTACAGCTTTATATTAAAAAAATGAGGAGATTAGAAATAAAAAACCTAACTCAGGAAACAGAAAAAGAATGCACCTAAACCCAAAGCTAGAAGAAGGAAGGAAATAATAAAGATTAGAGCAGACATAAAGAAAAAGAGAATAGAAAAACAATAGAGAAAGTCAATTAAACCAAAAGTTGATTCTTCAAAAGATTAACAAAACTAACAAACCTGTAGCTGAATGGACTGAGAAAAAAAAAGAGAGACAGAAGACTAACATTACCACAGCCAGACATGGAAACGGGGACATTTTTTCTGTACAAGGGTACTTTCTGGATATATGCTAGCCAGGTTTGTTTTGTTTTATTTGGGGGTGTGGAATCCCCATTCCTGAAATGAGAAATCTTAAATGAATGAGCCTGTTTGTTGAGAACATTCTGTTGAAGCGTCCCATTCACAGAGATTACGGGAAGGAAGAGGCTAGAGGCTGCTTCGGAGTCATGGGCTCTGCCAAAGAAGCTTGTAATAGGGTGTCCATTATAGAACTCAATGGCCATTTTTCAGAATTTTCTGTACCATGTGGCTCCTCTGAGTCACTCTGGTGACACTGGGCTCAGTTCTATATAAATGATAGAGAATGATGACCAAAAAATGAGGCAGGGTGGTATAGAAATAGAGGACTAATCTGCGGCTCTGAAGACCCGGCCTACAGCTAGCTGGCTCTGATCTCAAAGCAAATACCATGTCTTCTGTTGGACTCAGTTTAGTAGCTGGCAAATGAGAGGGTTGGACCAGAAGATCTCTAAAAATCCCTTCCTTTTTAAATGGTCTACATTTCTGTGATGTATATAGATATTTTAAGAGCCTTTGCACCTCTGCTTTGCACTTTTTAAGCACCTTTAGGTGCAAACGCTCTTAAAACATTCCACGGTTAATAGCTTACAATAATACCAGCTACCATTAATGTAAAAAGCTTAATATATGCCAGACACTGTTATTCAGTTTGTAGATACCACTTCATTTAATTCTCACATAACTCTATAATGTAAGTGCTGCTTTCTCCCACTTTACAGATGAGAAAACCAAAGATTCAAAAGGTGAAGTGATTTGTCCAAGATCACACTGTTAGGAGGTGGCAGGGACAATATTTCAATCTACTCTATCCAATATCCCAACTGTTAGTTTCTTTCAGTATGGAAAGCTTCTCTTCTCATGTGTCACTACCTCACCTAACCACTATCCATACTTACATTTGAAAATAGGCTAGAAAATCTAAACAGTCTAAAATGTTAGAATGTGCAATACATTCTACACTTTACAAATATTGAAATTGGAAAACATCAAACCAGTCATCTGGTTCCATTCTCTAACTTGACAGGACCAAGAGCAGAGACTCAAAGAGATGAGGTCTGGTGCTCAAAGGTAAGAAGGCACCCGTTGCTTCTGACCTCAAAGCCCAGGCTCTTTCTCCACCTGCCACTTGAAGCATCACGATGTCAGACAGTGTCAGGCAACTCAGAGAAGTTTGAGGGACAAGAGCAACTTTGTGTGCAGCTCAGAGATCATCTCACAAAGCCCAGGCTGGACTCAGGGTCATATGGTGGCATGAATGCCCAATTATTTTGATACTATCTTTGCCATAGTTAGGGAACTGTAAAACAAGAAAACCACAACAAGGCGGCACCTGTGGCTCAAAGGAGTAGGGAACCAGCCCCATATGCTGGAGGTAGCAGGTTCAAATCCAGCCCCAGCCACAAAACTGCAAAAAAAAGAGAAAACCACATCAATATTTACCTTTCTCTTTTTAATGGCTCCATTTGCCCCAGGGACAGCTTCACACAGGCGACTTATTGCTTCCCTACAAAACAGAAACCATAAAAAGACTTAGCATGCTATCTACACACAATAAGTGTTCAAGAAATGTTAGAAATTCTCATGCCCAGAATGTGTGCACACATAATGATGAGTCTTACATAACCTGACAGCCCCATAGGAGAAAACAATCTGCTTACTCCTTCTGCAGCTCAAACCCGGGGAAACCCAGCAACACGCTAATACTGAAAAATTGCTTTACAACAAGTCTCATCTTCCTTGGATTTTCAGATTTGACATTTTTGTGTGCTGTGATTTTTCAGCAGAAAGGAGGGGCAGACTTTTGTTGTCTGGGAATATTCTCGGTTCTACCTTTAGCAACACCCTCTCTGCAGTGTGATGAATAAAATCTTCATAGTATCTCAGCACTAAAGACTATTAAATACAAGAGAACTTGACACTGGAGGAGGTTTAAAAGGATGGGGAGAACATTGAACTTCCAGGTAATCTCAAATGGAGCCTTATTGACTAAGTTACTGCTACAAGCCATTGAGCTTTCATGTAATTTCACAGAAGAAAAGAAAATCAATATCAAATTTCCTCCTTTGCTTATTTTTCTGCTCTTACTATATATTGCACTTCCTGAGAGAAAGGCACCACTAAAATAAGCAGTTGCTCCTTAATGGAAGTGGTGAAGGAACCGGCGCCCTCCTCTCCAGAAATGCAGTTATAACTAAAAGCTTTTGTCTCTGGGATTCTCAGCACTCATAACAGCCCAAGCTTTCACTCTGTGTAATCTGAACCTGAGCCTTGTGCTTTTCAACACATATTAAACTTTTCACAAGGCAAATGGAAATCTCCAAGCTCCTTCTCAGATCCCCCAGAGATCCGTGTTTAAATTAATAACTAGATTCCTATGCACACACAAACACATACACTCAACACTGTATTATAGCTTTATATATACATGTATTTTATTTTGTAATATTTTCTATGAGTTTTTTTAATTACTGACAGAATGGAGAAGTCAGAAAGAGAAATGAAGACCCATTAAAAAAAAAACCAAAACTATAGCTATGATATCTTGCAATGCACAGCAATGTTTTACTAGAAGATACTTTGGGAAAATAAGCATAATTCCCAAAGATTCTAGGCCACATTTGGGACTTAGAAATGTTTGAGCTGAGATCTTTTTTTTGCCTGTGTAAATGAAAACTCTTCTCCAAAGCATTACCTTGTCTGATTAATGACCTGCGACCAAAGGACAGGACGGATCTTTGGTTTAACATGTCTTCTCAGGATTTCATATTTGTTGTTTCTCTAGAATTCCAACCTTTGTTCTTTGGAGTCAAATAAAATGATAACTCAGATGCTCTTGTTTGGTTTGTTGATTGATGTTTTGAATCATCTTAATGATTATTCAGTAATTGTTAAGACACACATAATTAATTCAAATTGGCTGCTGATGCTATCAAAATAACTAGTCCAGGCACCTCAGTGTTTTGATAGTATTTAATACAGAGGTATTATTTAAAAAAAAAAAAGTGGATCCTTCACTCCAGGAAGCCCTCTGAGTGTTTTAGTCTAAAAATCTTCCTGGAAATGGTTTGAAATAAAAGTACAAACAAAGATCGGCATTGGTAAGTATAATAACAATTATTACTAGAATTTTTTTAATGGTTGATTTTTATTTATTTATTTGTTTTTGGTTTTTTGGCCAGGGCTGGGTTTGAACCCACCACTTCCGGTATATGGGGCCAGCGCCCTACTCCTTGAGCCATAGGCACCACCCTATTATTAGAATTTTTAAATGGCTTTTTTTTATATAGTACCCTGTAATTTTACAAAGTGTTTCCCAGGCATTGTTTGCTTGATTCTCATACCCTTCGTCAATGACTACTAACAAAAAGTAACACAGTGAATTTAAATAGAACGGAATACTTCAGAGCATGAAAACTTCTCAGGAAGGTTTTAAAAAGATGAACTTACCTGGCAGAGTTGGGATGGGAAATCCCAGACAGAAGGGAGAACATAGGCGAAGATACCAAAGCAAAAAGTATCATGGCATGAGGGGCAAAAAGGTATAACTGCTTTGATATAGCAGAGCAAGAGTAAGTCCCGAGATGAGATTAGAGCCTAAAAACTTTCTTTCCCCCCCCCTTCAGTTTTTGGCTGGGGCTTGAACCCACCACCCCTGGTATATGGGGCCAGTGCCCTACTCCTTGAGCCACAGGTGCTGCCTTAGCCTAAAAACTTTCTTTCCCTTCTTTATTTCTATCTAAAAGCTAGGCTTCCATCCAGCCTAGCTTTTAACTCCTCCATCTTTATAACCACTAAATCCAGATTTAATTTTCAGTTTTTTTGGTAGATACACCTATTTCTAGTCCCAAAAGTTTCATAAAGAAAAACAGTCTGGACCAGGTTTAGCACTGCTTTCCCATTCAGAATCCCTGCTTTTAGGATGACACACCTTGGTGTGGAAAGGAGCCCTGGTTTTAATGAAAGAGCAGCTCCTTTTCTTGAGCACTCTATGGTCAGACCCAGAAGTATTCATCTTGGGTGCATCATTTCATTTGGTCATAACAAGTCATTTCAAGGTGCTGTTTTACCCCTATTTTACAAATGAGAAAACTAAAGTTCAAAGAATTTAAATAACTGCCTCCAAGTAAGTCAGTTGATAGTGGGAGAGACAGAATGCAAATCCAGTTCTGACTTCAAAACACATAAGCACCAGGGAGGAATCATTTGCCGGTGGATGTAAAGTAGGGCGTCCTGGGCTCTAGGGACCAGCAGCACACATGGGCTGTCCTTCCCTCGCTCTCTCCCCCATCACAATGAAGGGCTACTTTTTGGCCAATCCTTATGTTAGGTAGGTAGTTAGGAATCAGGTGCTCCTGGGAAGGAAGACAAGGCTGGGGCCTCCAGGCCTCCATCTTAGTGCCTCCCACTTTAACGTTGTCCAAAGTGATTGCTCAAACCTGGGGAGGAGGGACCATCCTACCAACGTACTAATCAAAATTAGTGAGCCAATTACAAAAGGATAAAGAAGATTAGCTAGCCTAACAACAGGTGCAGTGGAGTCTTGGAGGTGACCTAGAACAGTCTTAAGGCTAATTATCACGTGGTCCACAGCTGCACTCCTCATGGGCTCTCAGAGAGGCTCACAGGAGGTTCACAGGTTTGCAGTAAAAGTCTGGTTCCAAGGTGACCTCTGAATCATGAGGCGGGCCCAACCCAGGTATAAAAGAGAACCTCTGGGCCATAACCTTTGCCTCTTTGCCTTTCCTGTGTCATGACAATGGGGGTTGGGGGGCGCCGCTATTCCCTGTCTATGACAAAGGTATCTTGCTCTGTAAGCCTATATCTTGCTTTCACTCTGTAAACCTATCTTTCTCTTCCTCAATAAACTTTGTTTCACGTTTGCCTTACTTTGGGGTGTCTGGTCATTTTTCGACCTAGAGCACTCTGAGAATGAAGGACCCAGGCAGCTGCACGAGACCCTGACATTTTAGTAGACAGGCAGCCACCTTGAAACTAAGTTGTGTATAAAATCCAAAAGTTGGGCTTTCCTTGCTAAAACTTTACTTGCTCTTTTCAATTATTTTGGTGACTACTTTCAACCACAAGCACTCTGCTCTAACCCTTATACCACCATGGCTGGGGTCAACTGCCAAAGGAAAGGGCAGAGTGGCAGGGTCAGCTCTGGGAAAGGCTCACTTGGTCCCCTTCTCATCCCTTTGCTTTCAATACCTTGGCTGTTACCCAAAGCCTGGCAATATGTCTGCAGGGACAAGCTTGCACGTGTGTGCACTCACTCACCCAGAGCTTTAAAGTCAGGTGAGGCACCTTAGACTTCACAAAGCCTGAAAATCTCTTGATATCCAACTCTGCTCAAAAGAAAAAAGGGGTAAATTTGTGCTTATGAACTTGCTTTTGGATTTGAGACTTTAAAATTAGTCTTTCTCCAATAAAAGCCCTATTTGCACAAGCCTTTCTGTTCAATTTTAGAGGGTCCATCCCCCCACCCCAATCCCCCAGAAAACATTCAGGGGACCTCTTAGGAATCACAGATCTGAGGTTAAGGATAACGTCTTTTAAATAACCACTTTAAAATAACCTCTCAAAGTCTGCTTTCTTTGCTGATATCAGTGTTAACAAATCTCCTGAAATCTCAGCCAGGGACAACAGATACATGCCTGCATTTTGTTGCTTTTCTTCACAAAGATCTTTTTCTTCCCCTACTACTGAGACCAAGAAATTAACTGTAACATTTTCAAGAACAAATAGTACTTTCAGTGCTTTCTGGGAGTCTCAGCCACACCCTCTGGCCTAAAGCGGTTGACTTTACAAATGCCGAGGAAAAACAAAACAGAGTTGAGAGCGAGTTCTCCCATCCTCCCAAGCAGCTGCATTCCTGCAGAACCCTTTTGGAGCTGACTGTCCATGAGACTTTCTCCAGCTAGCGAACATTTGGCAAGTGTCCTCTCTTACAGGAGCAGAATTTTTGGACTTAAAATGGCTAGAGATTTCCATCCTGGGAGCCTGTACTAGAAAGAAGGAGAACGAGACCCAGAGCACCAACAGTGGCCACTTTGTTTATTGTTTCGCCACATGAGAGGGGAGAAGTGGGCTGATGTAAGAGAAGGAGAATGCAGTTGAAGATTTGCTTTAAAGCATCTAAACCCTGCCTACACCATAAGACCGAAAAAAGATATTTTGTCTGCCTTAACAGAGCCCAAACTAATCGTCCAAACAAAGCCACCTTTCTTTACTAGCCCTCCCCGCCACAGTACTTAAATTATAATTTTTCTGTGGCTTTAACCCTTCAACAGTTAGAACTCTGGAAGCCACGTTGCCTAACTTGAGCTCTCTCTCTCTCTCTCTCTCTTTAAAATTTGGAAGGCAATATCACAATCTAAGACAAAGGGGAACATCAAATGGGGGAGGGGCTGTGCGGCAGATTTTTTTTTTTTCTAGTGAATGTCAAAATGCAGTTCTTCAGTAAATAGGAAAGCCAGCAATGTGCAACGTGAAACCAGGCAAAGG